TAGGGAAAATTTGAATAGGTATTTCACATTGATAGGCTATTGATATCCTTCTTTATGTGCTATTTCCCTTTCAGGATGTAGGTGATTATGGCTCTCCACAATTTCCTGTTCTTTGTCATTGCTCATATATTTGGTCAAGGTATGCTTCTTCAGAAACATATTTCTGTTGCTTCAAATCTCTTCATCATTTTGTCCAGCATTCACTGACGTATATGAAGACAGATTATGCAACAGTACTCTTTTCTTTGTTTCTAATAAAAATTTTGTATTTCTTAATACTTTGCTTAGCTTTTGCAATGTGTCTTTCACTATACCAATGTACCTTTGGATTTCAGTCTCACACTTTCCATCCACTGTTAAAATACTTCCCAAGTATTTAAATTGTATATTTTTTTCATTTTTGAAAAGTTTAAAAGTTTTAAACAAATAAATTTTGTTGGTCTTCAATCAAACATGTGTGAATAAAACATTGGTGTCCTATATGTATATATATATATATATATATATATATATATATATATATATATATATATATATATATATATATATATATAAATGCACACACACATTTCATTAAAACGACAATTTCTCATGCGATCTAATAATTATTAGATCACATGAGAAATTGTATAAAAAACTAAATAAAAGCGCCTTGTCTGTCATTTTTAATGAAATGTGCATAAAAGAAAGATTGCTGCCTAAATACACAAATATATATATATATATATATCTATGAACAATTTCTCAGAGTTAACCTGTAGAAAAAGATAATATGTATAAAGGTAAAAGACGGTAGAAAAACTGTATTATTAGCCAACATGTTTTGTACAATGTGGACATTTTCAAGGTAAAAACAAAATGAATTTATTAAAACAAAGTAACTATTAACTACAAAACAAAATCTCCTTAGCAGCTAGAAGAATTTAGAAAATGCTATTGTATTCATATTGTAATTTTCAGTTGACAATATGAATACAATAGAGTTTTCTAAATTCTTTCAATTGCTAAGGACATTTTGTTTTGTTGTTAATAGTTACTTTGTTTTTTAATAAATTCATTTTGTTTTTGCCTTGAAAATGTCCACATTGGACGAAACACATACGTATATGTATATATATATAGTGTATTTGGGCAGCAATTTGTCTTTTATGCAAGTTTCTTTGAAAACAACTGGCAGGGTATGTGTTGGTTGAATTTTTTTTATATAATTTCTCATGTGTTCATTTTTTTTTCTTTTCAGGAAATAAATTGTATAAAAATTGTCTGAATGTTTTCAAAGTGCTTTTAGCTATACTTTTAACTTACTTTATTTTACTTTTAACTGAATATATGCATTGTTTTATGTATGTATCTATAGTTATAGGAAAGTTATATATATATATATATATATATATATGTGTGTGTGTGTCTGTGAACTCACATTATGTACAAACGATTATCTACAAACATCGACTATAGTGGACAGAACATCTAATAAAACTTGAGGATAATCATTTAACAAAAAACATTCTGTAAAGAACTTAAAAGCCAGAAGCAGCTAAAATAAATGTCCTGGGAATATTTCCTTATCATACTCACTTTCTCTGTTTGGTTTATGTAAGGATTCCTTAGAGATAAATGTAAGGAGTGGTAACAGATTCTACTGAGGAATGCACCTGACAGGGCCAAAGTATAATATGTGGCTAGAAAGGGGGGATTATTTTGACTCTGCTGTGACTCAATGGGTTTGTGAGGAATGTGGCTATGTCTGCTTATCACAAGCTGGATTAAGAAGACACATTAGGAGTCATGTGCAAGGACATCAGATTGAATATAATTGCTATGGTCAAAATCAGGTTCTTGATTTGTATCTTGTGTCAAAAGCAATTTAAGGACAAATCTGGTATATAATATCAATCATGAAATCACGGAACAAACAAATATCCTAAGCAAATTTGTATGTCAGCTGTGTAATGGAGTTTTTCAAAGATCTGGTTTTCAGAATCATTGCTGAGCCCATGAGTGGGCATCAGCAGAAGATGCATGGCCATGGTGCAGAGATGGTTAGTCTTGTAATTTAGTTGGCAACAAGATAGATAGTTGGAAGTTTTGACAAGTACATAGCTGCTGTTTCCTTTCCATCACAATGGTGTGCATGCATGCAAATTATTTCAGTACATCTCTCCTCAATGCTGTAAGCTACCTCTTCTTCCTTTATCACTCTCCATCCTCGCAAGACTGTGGTGTACTCAAAAGCATTTCCGACAATATAGACAAGGCTATCTTTCTCCATCCATTTGCTCATATATTTGTGTTCGGGGACTTTAACGCCCAACAAAACCAAGTGGCTTAAAAACTCTATAACTGTCTTTGCCCTGAATTTTTCTATTTCTCAATCCCTCACTCAAATAGTTGACTTTCCCACATGTTTCCCCAACAACCTGGGTGGTAAGGATTCCCTTCTCAATCTCTGTTTCACCTCCATCCCCAAGTCCTGTTGTGCCTCGCAGCTCTACCATCACACATTTTTGCTCTTGATCCAACTCTGTAACCCCCTGTGTACTAGTGGCAATTTGCCTTGCTTGGGGTGAAATGCTTAAAAAAATAAAAAATTATGTAAATACCCAAGCTTATGGTTCATACATAAAATTACTATTTACTTTTATGTATACATGCCAGAGCAAAGTCATTTTTTCAGATTATTGCTTGTATAGGGAGTGACTCTTTATTGTAAATCTGTACCAAATTTAACTCATTTTAATAAAAAGCTTAGAGTCTCTACTACTGAATAACTTTGATAACTCATCACAATGGCTGATTGCAGTTAATACAGTTCTCATAAATTGTCCTACTTGCATTGTCCTTGTACCAGACTAAGTATCATAGTGTGCTTGTCAGTATGTTAATCTCTCAATTCTTTGTTCATACAATATGAATAATCCTTACTGTATTCCTCATAAATTGTTGCATTGTACCAGACTTGGTTATGTTACGTTAGGTCAGGTTGGTTGATTTATGACATGTCAACCCTTGTTTGTGTTATTGAATATTGAATTTTCTATGTGCCACTCTGTGAGGATCAAACTCACTACTCAATAGTAATGGTCAACCAGATTAGTCTTGATAATCATTATCTTTCACATATGTACCTAACTTAAGTGAGTTTGGTTGATTTTACATGTCAACCCTTATGTTATTTACTGTTGCATTTTGCCTGTGTCCCAAGTAAGGATCAAACTCTATACTTAGTAGTAATGGCCAACCAGACTAGCCTTGCTCATCATTATCTCTCACTTAGGAAATCAGTGAATATCAAATGTTTTCTCATAAGGAAAGGCAAATATTACCATTACTTTCACAAGGAAAATAACATTTATTAAAATTTTTTTTGTTTTCTTTCATTCTCACTTATTCACTGACATTTTATCATACATAAACAATAATTAAGTACAGTGTTTCTTGAATTTTTTAACCTTTCATTGAAGGTAGCATTTTTGGCATTTTAAACCACTGGTGATTTTTGCTAAGGAAAACATTTTTTGCTTTAAAAACAGGAAATAATCATATTTTTTTCTCTCTGGAGAAGAAATATATTTTTATTTAAAAACGCTTTATTTTTGTATTTTCAAATGAATGAATTAGAAACAAATCATGCACAAAAATGTGTGTTAATCACAGTGTCATCAGTGATAACACATATACATATATCCATATACATATATCCCAGAAATAAAAGTAAAGTTGTTAGCATTTTAAACCATTGGCAATTGTCACTAAGGAAGATCGTACAAGTAAACCTCTTTTGACTCAGAAACAGAAAGCATCAATGAGAATTATTTTCTCTACAGAATAAATATTCCTCTTCTTTTACAAATATTATTAAATACTGAATAAATTAAAAATAAATCACATGCAACAGTGATAATATTATACAAAGACTTCAATTTTTTATTCATGAGAAAATCTTTCTCCAAAGAAAAAAAAGTCAACTTTTCCCAATTCTAATGCAGATGCATATGTATATTTTCATCATTATTTGACCATAGTCAAGATCATCCAACCAATGTGAATGATCATTTCTTTAGCTGTATAATATGTGCTACACCTTGCTAAATATATATGTATATACTTTTTAGTGATAATGGCTGAGATATGTTCAACAAAAAATTACCTTGAATCTTTTTAGTAGCTCAGCCTAATTTATGATAAGCAATATCTCATGTGGCCCACTGTTTGAAAAAGATGGGTGACTGCTTGGGAATACCATATACCATATGCTGAAGTGGTCTGTCATGGATTCACCAGGTAAATGAATGTACACTCTCTGGAAGAAATACCTTGGGCTTATACTGAGTTCTATGAAAGAACCCATTACAAAGAAAAAAAAAGGTGAGGTAGGCCAATCCAACAACAACAAAGAATTAGTTTCTATTAATTGGTGGTTGTGAGTTCAATTCCTGTGCTGGGCAATGCATAATTATATAGAGCAATAATATTGACAGCTTCTGTAAAAAAATATTTTATCCTTCTTGATTGGCGTCACCAGCCAACACCATACACAGTAGTTCTGATGCTGCACACATTTAGTTATGTAGTCTGCTAATTGTCTTTCACTGGTGGTTATGAGTTCAATTCCTGTGCTGGGCAATGCATATAGAACAATAATGCTGCAGCTTGGATTTTCTGGTGGTGTAATGGATAGCAGTTCGGAATAAGAAATTTGAGAGCTCAATTCCAATTCCAGTCAGCTTTATCCTATTCACTTGCAAGCAAATAACCTTGGGGAAAAGTAAGAATCCACTTCTTCTCCACCCAACTATGGGTTAAATAGTAGGATTTTGATCACAAAAATCATTATTATCTCCCTCCAAAATTCTTATAATCCAAAAACATTTGCTGGCTTTAAATAACCACCAAAATGTTTATAGGCTATAAAGAAAAAATCTATCAGTCAATATACTGATGTCAGAATAAAGAAGAGCCTGACATGTGAATTACACCCACTTCATGACAAGGCTTACAGCCACATCACGTTCAAACACCATTTCCCATACAATCACCAAAGTTAAGCAACAGTGAGTTTGGTCAGTACCTAGATAGGTGACCACTTGGGAATACCAAGGGCTATAAGCTTGTACCCATCTTCTTCTTTATGTACCATGTCCCTTCAGGACATAAGCAATCATGGCCCTCCACAATTTCCTGTCCTTTGTATCTCTTAATATATTTTGTCTTTTTGTTATTTCTCCTAAATCCTGTTCCACCATCAATTTACTCAAGCTCACTCAGTATGTAATGTGCTGTGTTCCTCTGTCTCTCTTTCCTTCAATCTGCCCTGTGAGTATCAGATTTTCCAAGCCCTCAGTCCTCAATATGTGCCACAGAAACATCAACTGTCTCTTCCTGATCTCTGCTGGAAAAAGGTTGCCTATGCTTGGTTTAGATGATGATGTTATATCTTACCTGTTCAATGTTTGATATATTAAATAAATAAATACAGCTGTTCCAATGAACATTCCTATGGTCATTGAAGTAGACATCCTTATTTTAGATTCTTGGATAGTTATGACGCTAAGAGTGCATCCATTGGAAGGAGAACTAACAAAACATCTCTCCTAGCATGAAAGTGCTGACAATTTCAACTAGTATTCAATTTTGAGGACAAGTGTGTTTGTTTTTCCCCTAGGAATATAGATTGAGAACTCAATTTTAAAGAAAAATATATGTAGGTCTTTCTGTATATGTGTAAATTGTCATAACTCTGGGTAATAACCAACTTAATCATAGTTCATACTCTTAAAACTCACACTGACCTTGTTTTCATCTTCTATGTGTCATGTCCTTTCAAGACATGTGCAATCATGGCTCTCCATAATTTCCTCTCCTTTGTATCTCTTACTAAAGTTTGTTTTTAGCTATCTCCCCTAAACCCTGTTCTTCTAAGCATTAACACAAACTGATTATGTGTGGCTTTTCTCTGTTCTTCAGGCTTCAATATGTCCCATGAGTGACACATTACTAAGCCTTCTTTCCTCATTTTCCTCCTATTATAGTTTAAGTGCAGACTCAATTAAATTGGGTAAATTAATGAATTAAATTTTCTTTTTAATTAAAAAAATTGATACTTTAAAAATTTTAAAACACCAAATCACAATTGGTTGTAGTAAAAGGATCTGCTATTAGTTCTCAATAAGTAAAAATCATATGTATTGTCTCACATGCTCTGGGGAGCCATTTGAGAATATGAAAAAATATTTGCCATTTGAAGAAATAATTTACATAGAAAATATGCACATACATACACACACCACTTATATTTAAACATGGTTAAATTTGTCTACCACAATGACAAAACCCATTGATAAACACTGAGTTGACCAAAAGTACTTCAACAAAACACATGCTTTGGACAGTTTATTCACAATTTTGATCCTGATATACATCATCTTATTATAAATTTGAAAAATACAAAATGAAATTTCAAAAGTTATACAGGCTGACTTTATCAGGTATGAAACAAACTGTTGCTCTCGTGTCTACATTTATATTTGTGTGAGTGGTATCTGTTGGTCTCAAAAAGTTATGCCTAATCTATTATGGTTGTACAGGCCCACATAGGAGTGACAGTATTGATTCCAATGAATTCATGAGAAGACGATCTCCCCAATGTTCTGTGTTGTTTTCTTTCCATTGTGCACATTTCTCCACAGCAACAAGCCTCCATTTCTCCTCTCTTCTCTCCAACGCTTGGTGTAAATTATGTCTACAGCATGAGTGATCATTGGCAGTATCTTCCTACCTCTCAATGTCCATGGACATCATGTCTGTTATGGTGACCTATCTACATTAGAATGAACTCTTCCTCCTTCATAAATACTAACCTGCGAGACTTCCTAAGCAGGCAGTCGGGACACAGTGTAACCTGACTGTTCGGACAGACACTTCTATTTGCTGACTAATAACACTCTTATTTTGTATATATGTTCTGTTATTTCAATAAAGTTGTTCTTTCCATGTCTTTCTTTTCTGGCCCCTAACAGACCACAACAACTTGGCGATGAGGATTTGCGAGGATCACTGTGATTAAAAAGGAACTCTCCTAAAACAAGGGCAAACGAGTTTTTGTAAAAGAACTACGTGTAATTGCCAATTTGTTTTAACAGTGGATTTACGAGAATTTTTTTTTTTTTTTTTTCGTCACAGTTTTTTCATTTGAAAAGCATCTGGAAAAAACAAGAAAAGTAAAACTAGGAAAAAAAGACACATTTATCATGGAGGATTTCAAAAGTATTTTTTAGATCTTGTAAAGTACCACAATACACAGCAATTACAGCTCCAAGAAAGAATGGAAGAGAAGAAACAGCTGCCCCCTCAACAGGAAAAAAATGGAAAATTATTTCTGCAAACCCAGAAGGAAAATCAAGAGAGACAGCTCGAATTTCATAAGCAAGTTTTAGAACTGACATGCCGTAGTAATCGCATCGAAAACGAATTTTCTTTTTTGCAAAACACCATTTGGAGCACGATAGAGAATTTTTCATACACTCCCGAGGAAAACATAACCTTTGTGTCATACTTTAGGAGATATGATGACTTATATACTACAGATTGTGCAAATTGGAGTGACTCGAAAAAAGTTTGTCTTCTGAAGAAACTTGGCACAACTGAACACAAAAAATTCGTAAACTACATTCTGCCCCGGAAGACTAGCGAGTTGATATTCATCGAAGCAATGGAATTACTCATGGAGCTTTTTAGTCCAAAGATATCTCTTTTCCATAAGAGATGGAAATGTCTTAATCTAACGAGGAAAGAATGGGAAGATTACATCACTTTTGCGTCAGTAGTCAACAAGCACTGCGATGATTATAGACTGATGGAGTTAAGTTCGAATAACTTCAAATGTTTGATATTCGTGCAAGGATCAGTTTCAACAAAAAATGCAGAAATTAGGCGAAGAATACTAAACAAATTGGAGAATGAGCAGAATATAACTGTACAACAGATCTCTGCAAGAATGTCAGAGGTACGTCAGTGTAAAGCATGATTCTAAAAATATCGAAGAATCGGGTATTGCTCACGTCAAAAAAGTATGCTGTAAATAGAAGCAAAGTCTCCTAAAACGAATGAAACAAAGAAAAAGCAAAATAATTTGCCCTCTAAACCATGTTATAGATGTGGGGCCCTACACTGGTACAAAGATTGTATTTTCCGGAACAAAAAATGTTACATATGTGAGGGACTTGAACACAAAATCTCGCATTGCCAATCTAAAAATAAAACCAATAGCTGCATAAGAAAATACAAGGTCGGATGAACTAGACGGTGTTATTACCAGGAAATTCGTGCACGTAAAGATGTTAAACAAAAGTGTGGAATTTCAAGTAGACTTGGGTTCTTATTTGATAATAAACTTGCAAACATGGAAAAGATTTTGTAAGCCAACTGTGATAAAATCTAACTAGATTGCAAGATCAGTAACAGGGGAAAAATTAAATTCAAGGGAGAATTGATTGTTAATGCAACGTTCAACGGGAAGACTCTTAAATTAAAATGGTTCGTACTGAAAAATACTAACAACCTGTTTGGCACTGATTGGGTGACACAATTCCAGCTTTGGGACTTACCTGTAAATTCATACTGCCAAAAATATTGAAAATTGGAATGCCAAAACTGAAAAAAGAACTGAAGGAAGCTTATCCAGGATTTTTTTCAGGTGGTTCAGGCAGGTGTACCAAGATGATGGCAAAAGTTGAACTACAAGACGACGTCCAACCAGTGTTCAAAATAAGCGAAACGTGCCTTTTGCCTCATTGAAACAAATTAACGAGGTACTTAACAGATTAGTAAAAACGGGAGTTCTATCAAAGGTAGAGTACAGTGAATGGGCTGCACCAGCGGTCTATGTAAAAAAAGAAATCGAAAGACATACACGTTTGCGCTGATTTTTCGACAGAATTAAATGCTGTTCTGAAGGAATTACCCTCTTCTTTGACCAGAAGACATTTTGCGAAGCTAAATGGGGGAAAGTTTTTCTCGAAAATTGACCTTAGCGACACTTATTTGCAAATTCCGGTTGAAGAGGTGAGTTCGAAACTATTGTGTACAAATATGCATCGCAGATTATATATATGCGAACGTTTACTATTTTCGGGGTCAACGTCGCACTAGCAATTTTCCAGCAAGTCATGAATACTATGAGCGGTCTTGACTTCTCAGTCGCTTATTTAGATGACATTCTGATGAAAATCCAAAGCGTAGTCGAACATAAGGGTCACGTCCACAAAGTTTTTGCTAAGATTCAAGATTACGGTTTCAAACTTAAAGAGACCAAATGTGATTTTTTCATGGAAAAATAAAATACTTAGGACACATAATTGAAAAAGATGGCAGGAGACCAAATCCTGAATGGGTTTCCGTGATTAAATAAAATCGTTTCGTTGCAAAGCTTCTTTGGACTAGCAAATGATTATCAGGCATTCATACCAAATATGTATGATTTGCATATCCTCCCCTCTCGCTTAATGAACTATTAAAGAAAAACAAGCCCTGGGTTTGGACAGCAAAAAATACAGTCAGTCAGTCATATATATATATATATATATATATATATATATATATATATATATATATATATATATAAACATAGAAGTCAACACTCAGAGGCAACAAAGCTGTTTCATGCTAGACACAATCGTCAGGCTGCTTGATGATTGCGTTTAGCGTGAAACAGCCTGTTGCCTCTAAGTGTTGACTTTTTATGTATATATATATATATATATATAGTAAGGTAATGAAGGGTTTGGTAATCTGTGTCGATAATTCCAAAGAGGATATGATCCAGAGAGCTCAATGTAAAACCAGAGCAAATATCAATAAAATAATAAAAAAAATAGACAACCTTAAGTTTCCATGACTATAATTTATTTTCTCTAGTTACAAAAGAATTAGGTTTCTTTTCCTAAAACCTAATTCTTTTGTAACTAGAGGTATGACCTGATGAACCAGAAAAATATATTTTCTGGGGGAAATAAATTATAGTCATGGAAACCTAAGGTTGTCTGTTTTTAATTATTTAATTAATATATATATATATATATATATATATATATATATATTCAAACATAT